AACAACAACAACAACAACAACAACAATAACAACAGCAACAACAACCCACACCAACAACCCCCCACCTCAAAAAAAGAAAACGCTAACAAAACAAAACAAAAAAATGACAAAAACCCCTTAACAAACAATAACAAAACCCCCAGTACAACGGTCTTCTCCTCCCTTTCATCTTCTTTTACGTTTACTTTTTCATCCTCTGTTGCCGTTGAGCGTCGAGCGGAGATGCAGTTTTCTATGGTAGGCCAGCTCCGCAGCTCTTTCAGTTGTCATATTATGTTTTCTCAGGGTTTCCTTGACACCTTCGATCCACCTTTTGCGTTTTTTTCCTCTTCCTTTATAGCTTGAGTGCTTGGTGATGTAGGCTCTCGAGGCCGGCTGGCCAGGTGACATTAGTAACAAGTGGCCAACCCATTTTATTATCTGTCTTTCTATGTAATGCAGCCAGGACTCAATGCTGACAGCTGCTCTTACTTCTTCATTTCTCTGCCTGTCTCGTCTTGTGATGTTAAGGGTTTTGCGGAGACATTTCTTTTCGCACTCAGTGATTTTGCTTTCATGGGTTTTACTTAATGTCCAGGTCTGGCACTGGAAGCATAATGTTGGTATGAATAATTTTATTGAGGTAAAAAGCTGACTCTTTGTGTCAATGGAGATGTTTGGATGAGATAGGAGGGGTGTGAGCTGGTAGGGGACAGCGTTGGCTTCTTGAGTTTACATTTCTATTTCTCTGTCTATGGACTCGTTTTCAGAAAAAGTACTTTCAGGATATTTGAACTCCTTCATCTTTTTCAATTGTTTAATATTGGCATGGATGTTCAGGGACTATGGTTTCGGCTCACTTTCATAACTTCTGTTTTTGATGTTCTTATTTTCATGTTAAATTTCTCGCAGCAGTTGTTCAGTTCTGTAGTGTGATTTTGGAGACTTTGTTGGTTTGAACGAATAAGACCTTAGTCGTCTGCAAATAGAAGTTCATTTATCCCTTTCATCATTGTCCTGTAATTTATGTTTATGTCCCTAATTGACTTGTTTTGCATTATCTTTTTTGTACTTGGCTTTGAAGTACTGTGTGTGTTCCATCTCCCTGCAGACTCAGAAAGGTTCCTCTCTTTGTTTTTACAGGATAAGTCAGAGTATATCGATGCTCTACTTGTGGAGATCCAAGACAGATACATGATAAAAAAGGACATCATTAAGTGAGTTTGTGTTGTTCAAGGGGTCTGATAGTAGTTACTAAAACTTTTAAAAATTGGGCGTTATAACAAAGACAAAACAGGTGGCCTGACAGTATTTACGTCATACTTTTTATGTGCTCTTACACCACGGGGTGTCGAGGAGAGAAGGGAGATACAATCGTCAGACGTGGGCCAGGTGTGTTGCTGTTCGGATCGTCATATTGTTCCTTTGGAGGAAATCTTACAGTAAGACCAAAAAGTGATCTGACCGTATGACTTAAAGTAAAAAACCCCAAAAACTCTGGCAGTAAAGACAAAAGAAAAAAAAAGAAGAAAAGGAGTTGTCAATAAAGACAATAAAACGATAATGTAAAAAAGGTTCTGACAATAAAAAGGAAAATGGAAGAATAGTCTGACCAAGAAAGGAGGAGGAGAGAGAGTGGCCGTACTTAAAGTCATTTTCTTTTTTTTTTTAAAGTAGTTTGTTCTAAATTTTGATTGGTAATGGCAAGGAAGGATGAGTCACCAAAGTTATGATCATCTTTTCGGCTGCTAAGAAAATGTTGTAATCTTGAATTTCATTCGTAATTGTGGTTTAAAAATGGAAAAAAAATCTCTCACAATAAATCTTGTAACGTAAAAGCTAAGTTTATATTGTTTTCTGATCTAGACGTCTTGGTAGAAGGACAAAACGGAGTGGGCGAACATAATGATTCTCTTTTCCATCGTTTATCCGCCAGTTCACATTATAATTGGTCGCTTTAAAGTACAAGGGGGCTATCCCGAAAAATGCTGTTTTGAGAAAGTCGAAGATACAGTTTTTGCCCCTTGTTCAGTTTCCTTAAAAGACAAGAAGAGTTTTCTGTATAACCAAACGAATTTCCACACTTATGAAACCAAACTTCTCCTTTGGGAAGGTCAATGCCCACTTTTGGTAAAGGTCAAGATTTCTGGAAACTCCCGAAATCTGGGTTAGCCCGCTTGTCCTTAAAAGCGACCAATTGTAAGGCGAAATCGTCCATATCATTTCTTTCTGACATGCTATGTATTCAAATGATTGATTCTGATATTTTTTTAGGGGGTGGGG